CGACTGTGGGAAAAGCGGCGAGGTCAGGGAAGAGGTACGGCAGAATGAGGCGGCTAAGGGCAGCAAGGGCAGGGGAAGAGTAGCACGCAACGACAGCGTTGTACAAGGTCTTAGCACTTTGCACTGACTAAAATGCGCGCGCTCAGCGGTCGGTAAGAGGCGCCGCACAGCAAGGCGAGCAGCAGAATCGCGTGTGGCCCACTGTGATCGAACATTGGCATCAGCATCAGCAGACGGGGCAGGAGAGGCACCAGACGTGAGATCGAAAAGGGAGAGATCGTCTGCCCTATCGCACTGTAGGAAAAGCTGCAAGTCATCGACCCAGACCTCAAAGTCAACAGCCCGACCCTCAGCATCAAAGGTAAGGACACTGGGGGTAGCCATGACAGCAGCAGTCTAGGGGTGAGAGCGGCAGGCTAGAGGTAGTGTAGTGGGAGAGACGCTGCTCGGGAAAGCTCTCACCAGTCCGAGTGGGGAGGGCCGGGGCACGCCGGCAGTAACAGGGCCGCAGCTGCGGTGGCGGTGGTTCGGCGGCTCAGCAGCGGCTCGGCGGCTCGGCGGCGGCTCGGCGGCGGCTCGGCTGCGGCTCGGCGGCGGCTCGGCTGCGGCTCGTCGGCTGCTTGGCGGCTCAGTGGGGGCTCGGCGGCTGCTTGGCGGCTCGGTGGGGGCTCGGCGGCTCGGCAGCTCGGCTGCAGTTGTGGCGGCTCAGCGACTGCGGCGGCAGGGCCAGTGTAGGGCGGCGACGGGGCCGCGGAAGGGCGGCAGCGGGGCCGCTAGAGGGCGGCAACGGGGCCGCTGGAGGGCGGTGACGGGGCCGCTGATGGGGCGGCGGCGGGGCCGCTAGAGGGCGGCGTCGGGGCCGCTAGAGGGCGGCGTCGGGGCCGCTAGAGGGCGGCGTCGGGGCCGCGGTAGTGCGGCGACGGGGCCGCTGAAGGGCGGCGGTGGGGCCGTTAGAGGGCGGCAACGGGGCCGCGGTAGGGCGGCGACTGGGCCGCTGAAGGGTGGTGGCGGGGCCGCCAGAGAGCGGCGACGGGGCCGCGGTAGGGCAGCGACGGGGCCGGTGAGGGGCGGCGGCGGGGCTGCGAGAGGGCGGCGCAAGGGGCCGTAAGGGGCCGTGAGGGGCCGTGAAGGGCGGCGACGGAGCCGAGACGGGGCCGCGAGAGGCTGCGAAGGGCGGCGACGGGGCCGTAAAGGGCGGCGTAAGGCCGCGAAGGGGCCGCGAGGGGCGGCGCGAGGGGCCGTAAGGGGCCGCGAGGGGCCGTAAGGGGCCGCGAAGGGCCGTGAAAGGGGCCGCAAGGGGCCTAAAGAGGGCGCGTCGGGCCGCTAGGGGCTAGGGACGCGACGGGAGGGAGGGCACACGGGGCGCGACTCGGGAAGGAGGGAAGCGCGCTCCGGGCAGGAGAAAAAAAAGTTGATCGTGGTGAGCCCTAGGAAGCGTTCCCACTAGGGAACCTGCTCTGATACCATGTGAAATTTAGAACGAGAATGGTGAACTGGGAAATGAGCTGGGTACAAATATGAAACCCTAGAAAGCTGTACCCCATACTGTCTACCCCACTACAGCCTAGAAAGACTATAGCATATAAGTTCGACACCGCCACCTGCGCCAAGAGTACAAACGATTTACCATTACAATTCGTTCAAAAAGAGTTGGTGCGAAGCAAAGATTTGCGTAGAAATTGGGCAGAAATGCAATCATTGCTGTGAGTGACGTCACAAAATGCAGCATCGAGAGCCAACCATTCCGACCCCGATTTGCGTAGCCCGAAATTGCATCTATTTCAGAGCTTTTGTGCCAAATTTAATCGAATCTTGAACAACGTGTAAAATTACAAGAGCCATAGTTTAACCTGAGAATAGTGTACGCCACTTGGCATGCACCTGAATAGCGCGCCTCGACTCATTTACATGCACCTGAAAATGGCCGGAAAGTGCCCGCTACTGGCACTGTAGTCCCCTTCAAAGCGCAGGGTCGCTAGTAGTACCCCTGCCAAAGCTACTTACCCAAAAATGTTCAGTTAGCTAAACCTGCGCTTTCAACAGCTGCTATTCCGAGTCTGCATATGGGGGCTGTTCGCCAGCACCAATTAAGTAAAAAACCATGGGATAACGAGGGGATCAGGAAGGTGGGTCTCGCCTTCCTGATCTCGTCAGTTAGGGTTCGTTTACCTCCGTCAGCCTGGTCAGCTCGTAAAAAGGTGCCGAGCCTCCCCAATCGTCCAGACCAACAATCAAAGTGGGTGTCTGGCGAACGCCCCCATTTGTCAACCAAAACGAACTGCTCGGCGGCATATGGAGCGGGGACGCAACTTCGTCCCCAGGCAAAGTTCCATCCCCAAGCCATGCCATCGCCATGCTGCGTTTTTCGAAGCACAGCGATGGCACAGCCGTCGCATTGATGTTCAAAGGGGATTGGGGGGAAGGTGAGGACGGAGGTTCGCAACCGCAGGCGCAGAAGTTTCTTGAACGGCATTACGTCCAAACCTCGGAGGTGGGTTCCGCCTCCGTTTCCAGATGCGGTCGCGATGCCGATGCCATCTTTTTCATTTCAAATTAAGATTTCCTGGTGAACAGCACCATGGCTTGACTATCCAAGCTCGCACTCAGCTAGCCACACACACAGACGCAGAGTTTCTGCTGGGCATTCGTTCCTCCCAGGAAGGAGAGGGAGGAAGCGCCCCGCACAGGAAAACACTCGGGGTTTGTGTGGTTTGCCTTCCCTTGCCTGCGCCAACCATTCTGTACCGCATGAGCCTTACCGCCAAACCTGCTCTGGTTACATCCCAACCAAGGTTTCTCGCTTCACTAACCAAAACCTAGGTTTGGGAACTAGCGGACGGTGGTTGGGAGCACAGCAGAAACAGCGCCAAGGCTCGCTCCCTCCAAGGCGAGCCATATTAGGAGGTTCGGTATGGAAGTTAGGAAACCGCACAAAGCACCTACCAGCAACCCATTTTTACGGGGATGCGGTGCGGTTGAGAACTACAACAAAACCTATACATCTGTCAGGACAACCGTTCATCTAGCAGCCAAGAGGAGAAGCTCTAGACGCTTACCTTATCCATGTCGATAATTGAGATAAGGATAAAAGAGTATGATTGCACAATAGAATAAGACAAGAGTGAACAGTGGAATTGTAGCAAATGAGGATGAGCTTGATAGAAGAGAAGATGATACTTAGAACTTGTGACTATAAAGAGAAACTTGTGTAAGGTGGAATGCTTGATGAGATAAGAATTCAAAAAAGGAGAAAGAGAGTATGAGCTTGTTGAGAGAATAAGAGAGGTGATAAGCACTTACTTAAGTGAATCTTACTAGGGATAGTTGTAGAGGTGACTTGTAGGAATGACTTGGTCTTGAGAGCTTTACTTGAAGAAGAACATCAAGCTTGGTGTTGGGTGATGATCCTTCCTCAAGCTTGTAGGAAGTAATGAACCTTATACTCAAGTAGAGTATGAGGTGACTACTCTTCACTTGATGCTTAACTTTGTAGACTAATGAGAGACACTTTGTGAGCATAAACTTATATTGAAAGAGGTATAGTACAAGCCTTATAGATCCATGAGGGATACATAGGCATGCATAGAGAGAGTAACCATCAATGGTAGCCTTGGAAGAGAGTTGCATAAGAGTATCAACTTTTTGGAGACATAGAACTTGGTTGCTAGTGACGAGCCTTTGTAGTAGAAGAGGAGCTTGAAGGAGAAGCTTGGAAATGAGCTTGGTGAAGAAGCTTGGAATGCATTGTTGTCATTGAAGAACCTTCTTGAGAAGTTGTAGAGATGCTTGATGTAGATGAATAGTATTGGAGCATGTGATGGTGGTTGAGCACTTGATGAGTTGGAGATGTAAGCCTAGTTGAGTTGGAAGAGAGCTTAGTGAGTTGGATAAGGATGAGTGGAGGAGATGATGAGCTTTGTTGCCTTGTAATAGGAGGTGATGGGATAATCATGAAGTCCTCAGGGATGAGGTGGCAACTTTGGTGACTTGTGAAAGGAAGGAAGGAATAAATGAGAGGCATGTGGAGGTTGATGACTAGGAAGTGGAAGCATGTGCTTGAAGGCACATGGGAGGAGGATAATTGGAGGAGGTAGATGACTTGGGTAAACTTTGATGAGTAGGAAAGGAAAGCACATGGAAAATCATGAGGAGTCATGTGCCTTATGGTGGGACTTGAGGATGAGTATGGGAAGTTGGTTTGAATATTGGTTGAGTTGGACTAGGAAAGTCTATGGTGGTTGGGAGTAGTTAAAGAGGTGGTTGATAGGCTTGAGTTGGAGAGGATGAGTTGGAAAAAGGAGTTTGTAACTTGAGTGGTTGGAATAGGCTTTGGAGGAGTTGAGTGGTTTGGATGGGTTCTTGGGAAAATGTGTCGAGGGTGTTTTGAGGGGAAGGGGTTGGAGTGGCACAGTAGCGTGGCACAGTAGCGTGGCACGTGAAGAGCGTGCCATTCACAACAATCCATGCGCGATTCATCGCGACAACCGGGTTCCGCACCTAGGCGGTCCGTGCGGGCAGCGGCGGCGGCGGCGGAGGGGAAGGATGGGGAGGCGCAGTTGTCGGCGGAAGAGGCGCAGGGCCTGAGGGACATTCAGGACATCCTCGAGGTGATTCGCGCTCGCTTAGGCCATTCACGACGTTCGCCGTCATTCGCAATATGCGACATTTACGAGACTTGCCAAGTGGTGTAGCTGCCCATTTCGTACCGTTGCCATTCTGATTCGCATCCGTTGATGTGCGTGTGTGTGTGCGTGTGCGTGCTGCGTGCTGCATGCCGCGTGCCTCAAGCCTCATTCGTATCCATGACTGTGCGTGCGTGCTGACGTGGCAGACCATCGAGTTGCTCAAGGAGCGTCGCGACATGTCGGTGCAGGAGGTGCGTGTTTTAGTCTGTTATTGTCCAGTCATCGCCAGTCCATGTCCCTCTCTTCCTTCCATGTCCGTCCTTGGTCCTCCTTGTCCGTCTTTCGTGCGCTTCGCTGTCCTCCCCACTCACACCCATGCTCACCCATGCTTCGTCTTTCGCTGTCTTCCGCGTGCCTGCTGCAATACAATGTGAGTCACGCACGGCAACGTGCGTCTTGCGCGCGCAGATCCGGTTGGTCGAGGACCCTCCCTGCTGTCCCCACCCCTCCCGTTTTGTCGCGCCCCACCCCACTACGCTCCTGCCAATCCAATCACTGCGCGCCAATGCGCAGATCCGGCTGGTGCTGATGATCAAGGACCCGCGCGAGGCGGAGCGGTGGCGGCAGATGGGCTTCGAGAATGAGAGCGGGTGCTCGCGCGATGAGATCGCCGACGCCTTCGTTGAGGTGCGCGCGGGGGATGGGGGGAAGGGGAGAGGCGGGGAGAGCGCTGCGGAGGCAAGGAGAGGTGGGGAGAGAGGCAAGGGGGGACGGGCATCGGGAATGAAAGCGGGTGCTCCCGCGGCGAGATTGCAGAAGCGTTGCGCGAGGTGGGGGGGGACGAGGGGGGAGGGGTGTTGCCGAGGGTGAAGAGAGGTGGGGCGAAAGTGGTGGGTGAAGGGCAGGGTGTGGGGAGTAGGGTAGAGGGCGGGGAGAGGGAAGAGAGGGGGGGAGGGGATGGGGGTTTTGGTTGGTGATGAGAGTGTGAGGGTTGCACAGCGAGGAGAAACGCGTGGCGACGGGAAATTCTAACGGTCGTATTCTATTCTTGTCCTCAAGGCCCAACCCCTCGCACTACTCCACCCGTCCATCAGTGAGTGCTCAGGTGCGTAAATACACTGTGCGACATCCCCCACCTGTAGCCTCCCCGCCTGTTCCTCTCCGCGCCATCCCTGCCCTTTCCGCTCCTCCCCCTCCCCCTCTCCCCCCTTCCATTGTTCCCCTGTGCAGGTGTGCGAGTACATGTGCGTGCGTTGCGTACCGCGTGGTGCTGTGCAATCCTGCGTCTCTTGCAGGCTGCGCGTTTCCATTCCAAGTATCGCCGCCCCTTTCCCTCTCTGGCCTCCTCACCAATTCCCTCTGCGCAAATTCCACCCTCTCCTTTCCATGTCCCCCTCCCCGGCGTGTGGGCAGGTGTGTGAGGACCGCATGCCAGAGCACTTCATGGTCCTGCGGCTGTGCAAGCCTGTATTGGCACGTCTCAAATCACCCCCGCCCTTTCTCCTCTCCGTGCCTCTTCCCTTCGATGCCCCCCCTCCGCGTCTCCCCCCTCTGCAGGTGTGACAGCTGTGTCCCGAGACACGGAGCTGCAGCAGACCGCATGGTGCTGCGCAAGCTGGCACAGGACATGCGCGAGTGGCTGCGCCTACAGGTGAGCCATGGGGGGGACAAGGAGGTGTGGGGGATATGGAAGGGTAAGAGGCAATGGGGGGAACAAGGTGGCAATGGCAGAAACGTGATGTCTTTAAAGCAAGAAGCAAGGGCTTTGTAACCTTTTCTTTGCCACCCCTCTCCCCACCTTCTCCCCCACCCCCCCCCCCCCACACCTCTCTTCCACGTTCTCCCCTGCCTCTCACCCACACCGCTCCCTCACACCTCTCCCCTACCCCCCTCTCTTCCACGCCTCTCCCGCCCACCCTGCCCTGCCCCTGCCAGCAGGAGCGAGCCAGCGGCCAGCCCCTGAGGAGGAAGAGGGATGAGCTCGTGGGCAGCGCAAGTCGCGGTTCGCGCAGATCACGGACGTGGGGCTGTAGGAGGGCCAGGGAGGGAGCCAACCGCCCTCTCATGCCATCATGCGTGAGTGCCGGCTGGGCGCGTGTGCCAAGGTGCAAAATTTTGGCAAACGTAAAATACGGTCCGTTTTTTACGCTCGTAGTTTACGGTCAGATTTAAAAAATTCGGCCGTTTTTTTGTTAGAGATTTTGTGACTTTTGTTTTTTTTTTTTTGAAGACAGTACACACGACTCTGCTCCTCAGCAGGATAGCAAAGAAGCAATACAATGCTTACAAAGTGTCTAGGTTGCGCTCGTTCAACCCTCCTCCTCCTCCCCCCAGACTCTTCATCCTCTCCTCCCTGGAGTCACCGTTCTACTACAGTCCCACTGATAAATCCCCTTTGTCTTCCTCATGGCTGGTTCATCTGATCGAGGGTTCATGGTTGGAACCAATACTTGAAAATATGTGTAAACCAGCTGGTTACAAGATTTCTGGTGTAAAAAACGGCCGTTTTTTTGCACCACATTAGAATTACCACATTTTGGCGTTTTAAAATGTTTTAAACGGCCGAAAAATACGATAGCGTATTATACGCCAGAATTTCAATCTTTCGGTCGTTTTTTTGCACCTTGGCGTGTGCCACCATGTGCGCATCTGCACAGCATGCCCGGCAAGGACAGAGCAAAAGGAGCGTCTGGACAGGCCAGGTAGTGGCAGCAGCTGCAGCGACTAGGCTAACTGCAGCAGCCATGTGGTTGCGAGGAGCTGGGGAGGCACAGTGGACGTCATGGGTCCGTGGGGTGTGGTAAGGCCCGCAGTAGGTCCAGTGTGGTGTGCTGATGAAGGGGCGCAAGGGTGGTGATAAAGGGGCGCAAGGGTGGTGATAAAGGGGCGCAAGGGTGGTGATAAAGGGGCGCAAGGGTGGTGGAGGTTACTTAGCCGAAGAGCTGGCTCATGACTCGAGGACCCAGAGGCTGTCCCTGAGGGCAACGGGCCACGGTTGTGCAGGCGTCCTGGACGAGGTAGCAGCAAGTTGCAGCCTGCAACCACTGTGTGCTTGCTTGCAGCGGGGAGATGCCGCGCGTGCCGACATGTCGGCTCCTCCCCGACTCCCCAGGCAACACGTGTCTTGTGCCCCGCCTGCTCATTCTCGTTGCCTAGATCTGCCGAGGCGTCACAGGTGCTGGTGAAGCCCTATGATTCGCCGCTAGGCCTGACATATTTGTTGCCTGGCTCGACACCAGTGCCATGGCACTCTCATCTCATGTGTCGACTCGACCCTTTCGATGTCGAGAAATATTCCCTTGATATCGTCACCCCCTCACACCATCATCCCATCATCCCATCACCCCATCATCCCATCCTGCCGTTTCCCAAGGGCCCTGTCGCCCCATCATCCCGCCACCATGCCGGTGCATTGGCAATGATCCTCACCTCACAAACGTTTGGCATGTCACTGCCTGCCCTACCCCTCATGTGCGCAACTTCCAAAGTTGCACAAGGCACGAGCACGGAACCACGAGCCATGAGCTCCATCCATGCTCTTGCATGAGGGGCTTGCTCCTGCTCATCTTCCTTCCCTTTCCCCCTTACGCCATGCTCATAGGCTAGGTGCCTTTCAGCAGCGAGCAGGGGTCTCTGAACACGGGATTGGCTCGCTTGAACTGGGTGCCTTTCCAGCCTGTGTGCTCTGCCTCTCCAGTCCCTTCATCATCATCCTTGCCTTTTTGCCCTTCCATGCACTCTCCGCCCTCTCTCCCCTCTGCTGGCTCTATTCGGCAGGCATAAAGCCAAGCTCAGGGCTTGCAGCGTGAGGTGGTTTGTCTCATCTCATCTGGGCACGGTGCTATGCTGCGCCTCATCTGGGCCTCCACCATCTTCCACAACGCCTTCCACTGAACTTGGAATCAAATCAGGAGCCGACGTGCTTGTGAACAGCACTCTACTGCTGCCGCTGCTGTTGCTGCTGCTGCTACTACTGCTCCTTCCCAAGAGTGGCAGCTTGCTACACGTTCCGTTTGTTGTTACCTGCGCTAGTCAAAGGCATATCAATATCTGGCATGACGCCAGTGCCCTTATTTTTCTGATTGCAGCTGCTTATGTGATTTGGTTCCCCTGTGTGTGTTTTTTTTTGGTGTACATGGTTTCCTGTATGGTCGCACCTCTCGTCCTCATGTCCTCTGGTACAGAACAGCACTGAAAAAGTGCTCAAGATTTCTTCACTTGGTAAATATATGCATGTGCTTTCCACCAGTCAATGGCAACGGACAGTAACGCTATGAAGAATTACGGTATATTTGTACGTTTAAAGCACCATATTGTTGCAGCCTTCATGAAGCGTAGAACGAAGCAGCTCACAATACACATTTGGCTACCAAAACCGAGGGTCTGATAGAGAGCAGCATATCGTATTCTCCCGGACATAACACCCTAGGGTATAGCTAAAAATACAGGGAAAAAATGGGGGGGGGGGGGGGGGGGGGGGGGGGGGGGTCTCCTCATAGGAAAAAAATACATAATACCCGGGTCTTTACATATGGCATATCTTAGTGTTAGTGTTTTTTAAATTAGTCAATGTGGGTGTTTTGCTGGTCGTTTTAGCATCACTGCCTGAGGCGCGAATGTGAGTTTCGGCCTCAAACTTCATCGCCCCCACAAAAATGGCATGTGGCACCTCTCTTGCCACTTGCAACGGAAGATTCACCTGCACGTGGCGGCAGAGAAATAGTGGGAGGGGGCAAATCTCGGCAGATTGCCTTTGAATGTACCGCGAAATTTCATTGAGGGAGAAATTCACACGACATTCTTCCGTATTGCAGCTACTCGTTAACGACTATAATAATGAATCCGTAAGAAAAGGGGGGGTGTTATAGAAAATCAGCCAAAAAGGGGGGTATAGTAGAAACGAGATCTATCATAACACCCACCCCGCACAAGCTACCCGGGGGTGTACAATTATGGGGGGGTGTTTTGTCCGGGAGTATACGGTAGTAGTTGGCCTGCCAACACGTTCCAGAAGTCTGGGTGTGATGAAAAGTAGTGCCAGGTATGAAGCGATATCCAAACGCTCAGAGAAGGAGCTAATTGAAGCACCTGTAGCCAGCACTTGTATTGGCCAGAGAATGAAGGAGAGAGAGAACATGCAGGGGAAACAGGAAACATGAAAACCTACTTTTGTCAACCCCTGTCTTTTCAGCGTACCTAGATGCTGGTCAATCTCTGAAATATCAAGGCTGATTGGTGCTGATTTAGTCCCAACCCAAACCTTTGAATTGCTTCGGTAATGTTGTGCCACCAAGTCATTTCATATTAGATGACAATAAAATAGAAACAGCCGCTGGCTGCTGATGTGTTGCTGATGTCTCCTCTCCCCTGTCCTGTCTGCAACTCGCCGCCCTTGCCCCCTAATCATCACGCAATCTTCAACGGTGAACGGTGTCAACTGGTGGTCAGCCCGGCTGGCACGGACGACGGTGGTATTGAAGGCAAGAGGCGCGGGCGTCGTGGCAAACGCCACCTTCTTATCGCCGCTGCCGGCCGAGCAGGCCGGTGGCTGTTAAACCATATGTTTGTATTGTCTCTAGGCTATAGTGGGTTAGCCTACAAGGGGTACAACACTTTAGGGTTAGCACTTGTACCCAACTCATTCATAGTTTATTCATTCCTGCACAGTAGTTCTGACATGGTATTCAGAGCAGGAAACCTGTTAGGTTTTTAGGGCCCACCGATCGTTCCGCTAATTCCTGCCCGAAGCGCCCTTGCGCTGTCCGGCCCTCTCGCACAGTGTCACACTGCCCTGCAGCTACTCCCACTGCCTGCCCTAGCGCACTGCCGTGCTGTCATGCATGCCCCTGCTACCCGCGAGAAGCCCCTGTCTCGAGCACCACTGCTGCCCACGAGCAGCCCCTGTCTCGTGCGCCACTGCTGCCCGCGAGCAGCCCCTGTCTCGTGCGCCACTGCTGCCCGCGAGCAGCCCCTGTCTCGTGCGCCACTGCTGCCCGCGAGCAGCCCCTGCCTCGAGCGCCCCTGCTGCCCGCGAGCAGTCCCTGCCCCGAGCGCCCCTGCTGCCCGTGAGCAGCCCCTGCCCTGCGCGTCGCGCCCTGCTGCAGCCGTGCGTCGCGCTCTGCTACAGCCCGCGTGTCGCGCTCTGCTGCTCCGCGCGTCGCGCCCTGCTGCAGCCCGCATGTCGCGCCCTGCTGCCCTGCGCGTCGCGCCCTGCTGCAGCCCGTGCGTCGCGCTCTGCTGCTCCGCGCGTGGCACTCTGATGCTCCGCTCGTCGCACTCTACTGCCCCGCGCGTAGCGCCTTGCTGCAGCCAACGCGTCGCGCCTTGCTGCCCCGCGCGCCGCGCCCTGCTGCAGCCCGCGCGTCGCGCCTCCTTGCCCTGCACAGCGCGCGCCCTGCTGCCCGCGCCGCCCAGGCCGAGCCGTGCCGCCCAGCCCGAGCCGACCTGCCCAACCCAAGCCGCCCTGCTACTACTACAGCTGCTGCTGCTGCTCGTTCTACTGCTGCTGCTGGTTGACGTGCTGCTGGGAGTGCTGGAGGTGCCGCCGTCCAGCCTCACAGAGCCGCCCTGCTGCTGCTACTGCTGCTGCTGTTGCTCGTGCTACTGCTACTGCTGGTGGAGGTGCTGCTGGGAGTGCTGAAGGTGCTGCTGGTGCTGGAGGTGCGGCTGGGAGTACTGGAGGTGCTACTGGTGCTGGACCTACTACTGACCGTCACTGCCTGTCATGGCCACTATCGTGTCAGTTGCAGCGGCTAGGGGTGGACGGCAGCGGTCCCTGCCTCTCCCGGACGACCCCACCCCTAAGCAGCTTCGTAAGTGGGTTTTTCAGCGAGGCCGTCCTAGTGGTGTTGGTTTTGGTTTTATGTGGTCTCAGCGACCTCGCGACTATGCTTCTCGGCGATGCGTCCCTGGTTGTGAAGAGGTTGCTGCTCTCGGTTCTAGTGAGTCTGCTACCGCTCCAGGTGCTGGTGAGTCTGCTGCAGCTCTAGGTGCCCATGAGTCTGCCGACGCTCTAGGTGTTAGTGCGTCTACTGCCACAAGTCCTGCCTCAGCTGAGGCCTTGCACACTTTCACACTTGACTCAGGCGCGTCACGTTTCTTCTTTCGTGATTGCACCACAGTCACACCACTCGCAGCACCTGTCCCAGTCTCACTAGCTGACCCCACTAGGGGCCCAGTTGTTGCGCGAGCCTCCACTATCCTCCCGTGTCCGGCAGTCCCCTCCGGTTCTCTGTCAGGTCTCCACCTCCCCACGTTCTCGATGAACTTGGTGAGCAGCGTTGTTATTTAGGATGTCTGGGTTGATACCTTTATTCCTGGAGGGTAGCGTGTGGCGATCTGTACGTGCTCTCGGACTGGCTGTCACCTTGCTACGTTCACTCAACGGCATGGGTCCAGTCTGTACACACTGACCACTGCGTCTGCACAGATGGCTGAGTCAGGCCAGGTGGCTGCGACGAGTCAGGTGTCTGCGTCTGGTCAGCTTGCAGCGTCTTGCTCGTGTCGGGTACTCTCCCACCAGACTCTCCTCTGGCACCACCGCCTCGGTCACCCCTCGCCGCCGCGTCTCTGCAGCATGCACTCCCGTCTCCTTGTCTCTGGGCTTCCCAGGTCCCTGCCGTGCCTCCCGCGCTCGCCTGCACCGCCTTGCCTTCCCTGCATCGAGGGGCGGCAGTGCGCCGCTCCTCACTCCTCCGAGTTTCCTCCGACCACTGGTCCTCTGCAGACTCTCCACATGGACGTTTGGGGCACGGCCCCCGTCGGTGGAACGGACCAGGAGCGCTACTTCCTGCTGGTTGTTGACGACTACACACGCTACACCACTGTCTTCCCTTGCGGCGCAAGGCGGACGTCAGCGGTGTTTTGATCTCCTGGATCCGTGCTACTCGTCGCCAGTTGCGCGAGCGGTTTCATCGGGACTTGCCAATCTTGCGTCTGCACTCTGATAGGGGTGGTGAGTTCTCTTCCGGCCTCCTTGAGGAGTTCTGTCGAGACGAGGGCACCCGCCAGACGTTCACGCTTCCGGCCTCTCCTCAGCGGAATGGGATTGCTGAGCGTCGCTTTGGCTTGATCATGGAGGTTTCTCGTACCTCCATGATCCATGCGGCTGCTCCCCATTTTCTGTGGCCGTTTGCGGTCCGATACGCTGCGCATCAGCTCAACCTCTGGCCCCGTGTCTCTGAGCCAGAGACCTTGCCCACCCTCCAGTAGACGGGGAAGGTTGACGATGCGTCGGTGTTTCGGGTCTGGGGCGCAATGCCAAAGCGAGCAAGCTCTCCTCTCGCACTCTCCGCTGCGTCTCCTTGGCTTTCCACCGACGCCCCACCGTGGCAATTCTACTACCCACGCGACCATCGCGTGTTCTCCTCCCAAGACGTCACCTTTGACGAGTCGGTCTGTGTCTACAGACTACACCCGCACGCGTCCCACCTGATCCTCCTAGCGCCTCTCTTCCTGGTACCAGTCCCCCCCCCCGGTAGACCCCTTCCCCCCGCAGGGTCCTGCTCCCTAAGGTGTGTCTCAGGAAGACCCACCCCCATTGGTTGAGCCTTCGGAGATCCCTTCTGATTCCTCTGGCCTAGCTGAGGGGGGTGACCTCGCCGCTGACGACACGGCGGCCACCCGCTGCTCTCCACGCTTGGAGACCTCCCCGGTTTTCCGCCTCGGCCATCTTCGCCACCTCCGCAGCCTGCTGCTGTGGACTCTGGAGCCGAGACTGCTGGTGCTAAGCCTGGGGGTGCTGAGACAGAGGGTGAGGGTTCTGGGGGTGCTGCGACTGGGAGTGCTGCGACTGGGGGTGCTGGTTCTG